AAAAAAAAGAAATGCAAATCCCCCACCTGTCTCTCAAACATGAAGGTATGTGACAACATGAAAAATTATCTGTATACCTACACAAACTTTTATTATGTATAGGATGATTTAAGCTTATGCTGTAACACGTACAGCAATGAAATGACACTTATTTTTGAAATTAAATGTAAAAATCCCTTCAGACCATAGCAATGGTTATTAAAATGTGTACATTTTTGATACGGAGTAAAATGTTTTCATAAGACATAAAATTCATTTGTTCATGTATGGTGACATGAAAATAAAACAATCAAAGTCATTCTTGTAGATAGTCATTTCATTGAAGTTGTCTTAATTATAAAATATATATATACCTCCTATAAAACAGATTGGTTTAAATAAATGATTTCATTTAAAAGTAGCATCTGGTTCTATCTTTTTTATAAAAAAAATAAAATTTTATCCAGTGACAAGTCTCTTTGAATCATTTGGGTTGAATCTTTAGAAGCTACAGCATTCTTTAACCTTCTGGCTGTTATATTTGAGTAGAACCTGGCAATTTTTCTGATGCTTGGATAATAAATTGTACTGCAGTCTTGCATGTGGAAGATGCCGGCAGAAAGAAAGAATTGCATTCACTGCAATATTTCAGTAGGGTCAATGGTCTATACAGAGATTTTTAGTAGAGTGTGACTACTTCTGTCCTCAAATATATCAGTTGGTCAGTTTGTTTCTTTGCCTTTTTTTAATTCTATGACATTACAGTCTTTGTAGCTATTTCATGGGAGCAGGGGGAAGCTAGGAGTCTTCCCATGCATGGGATTTAACACTTTTTCCTCAAGAGCTGATCTCCATAGTAAAAAGCTGACTTACCTCTAGCATAATCAGATGAGCATTTTTCTAGACTGGTGCTAGGTTCTTCATCCAATTTAAATGGAAAAATAAATGAGGAGGTGGGTCAGAAACAGCAGCCTGGAGTGGAGCGTGGGAATGTTTTGAGGATACTCACTGCCATTCCCTCTCTTTGCACTGAGGGAGGCAAGTAGAGGGTGCTTACCTTTACTGCTCTTCAGTAGGACAGTCAATTCCCCTGCACCCCTGGGCCATTGGGACTATTGCTGAGTGTTTGCTGTCAGTCTTCTCTGTGTTTGGCTCGGTCTCCTTCCCCTGCCAGTACGGCAGCTTTACCACACGGAGGGAAGAGCTTTCGCTAGGCAGATTATGAAGCAAACAATGAGGTAGGGCTCTTCGGTCTTTAGCAAAGTTACTTGGGTTTAAATTACAGTGTCGCTGTAATGGAGCCGCTCAGTTTTCATACCTGATTTAGCCTTTTGCTTTCTAAAGTAGGGGTAGTACTGCTGCTTTCAGTACTGTGTAAAAGCAGGAAAAAAGCCTACACTTACTAATTCTGTCAGTATAATTGACTGTGTCATTTGTCTAACAGAACATGATTTAGCTATTGTCAAATTACACCCTCATGAGAGAAGTATTTAAACTGGCCCCTTCCAAAAGAGGCTGCTCTCCTTCCTCATCCCCACTGTCCCCCTGAAGCTTCCTCTGGGCCAAATCCCGTGTTTGCCTAACCCCAGAATGAGCTGTTCAGGAAGCTGAAGCAGCAGAAACACTTCCCCCTCAAAGCGTGTTGCCTGCTACCGTGGTGTCGGGTGAGAATGGATGTAAAGGAGGGCATGGGAGCGAGCTGTGTGTGGCAGTCCTTGGCATGGCTGGATTATAAACTTGGACCCTGACCGTTCATCCATGAAAGAGTATACTGTAGGATGAAGGGTTAGGTAGCCTGGATCATCAGAGAAACTAATTTGGTTCAGCCTGCAGAATTCCAAAAGGATTGTTTACTTTCCTGTGCTTTGAACCCATTGAATCGGAATAGTGTACGGTCAGGGATTAATGCAAGGTGCGAGCTATAAAATGGGTTGGTCCCTGTATCTTTAGACAAACTTGTAAACACTGATTCTGGCTATGACCAGGTTATTTTTCTTCTGCAATTTCCTTCAGCAGCGCAGAGACTGCAGGTCTGCAGCTGTTAGCGTGGTTGGGTGATGTGGGTATGCAGTGCCTAGTAACTATCTGTGCAAAGAATCAAGATTCAGAAAGGCAACTGATGAGTTTCTGTATCTTTATGCTTTAAAGAGATTAATTCGTTAATTCCTGCTTTGTGCTTTTTTCTTTTTATCTGGACTGGAAAAGAAGGGCATGTTACTTCTCTCCAGAGAGAAATCTGGTGATGCAACATGTTTTGAGAATGTGAGCTAGGCTCTTGTGGGGTAGAGGAGGAAAAAGGCAGATGAGAACACTCCACTGAGAGATTAGGCTGACGTTCACATGTCTTCCTTCTTCAGACAATGGATGATTTTCTGATTTAAAGGCTGCACCAAACACAACCACCTGCAGCCTTCCTGTATGACTGACCATTGCTGTTGTACCTGCGTTGGTCAAAATAGCCCCTGTCAAGACTGCAGGCGCATAAAACATCATCGTGGTAGTAGCTCTGCCTTTTGTGCACAACAGAATTTCCTCCTGTGAAGTGTGTTTAAGCAGGAAACAGCTGCAAGTCTTTGATTAAAGTTATGAGGCACCTTTCCAGAGAGATAGGATCTTTTATTTACAAGCTTGTGTAATTACTAAAGACAGATAAACTTTCGGGCCTGCAAGCACTTTTCCAGGTGTGAAATAAAGACAATGAATTTCATGCAAGCTGATGTCGGCGACAATTTTTCTCAGGGAATAGCTCATCAATGCGGGTAAGGCACTGTAGCAGCTAATTGCTGTCTAGAGAGGCCATCTGCCCTCTTCCCCTCTCTTGTCTGCATTAGCACTTGTCCGATTCCACAATAATACAATTTATTGTGGAAAGGTAATCTTGCAAAATAACTCTTTTTTTGAGGTTTTAAAAAAAATCAAAGCTATTTAGAAAGCTACTCACCCTTTGGTGTTCCAGGTGGAACTATCTCACCATGCAGATAAGTGCTGCCACAGATTCATCTGTAACGTGTGGGATGGGGTGGAGGAGGGAGCAAGCCCCTTCCGGCAGCTGTTGGCCACTGGGGCCATTTAGTTGTAGCGTCGCTCTGTAGCCATGCAGTTACTGAACTTCAGTTGTGCCATTTCAGTAAGTTAATCAATGGGAAACCAAAGAAAGGAGAGTGAAGGAAAGGGCAAACCTTTTTTAACTGATGAAGGACACTGAAACTGCTGTGAAGGACCAGCACAAGTGACAGAATCGGACTTAGTGGTGAAAAGAACACGTGGCAAAAGTTGGATGGCGCAGCCAGAAGTAGGGAGTATCTCCCTATGAAACATCTTGGTGGTGGCAAAAAGTAGCACATCAATAAAAAATGGAATGTGCTAGAAAATATATTTCTGCCAAGGTCAAGATTGATACGGTTTGTGGTGACAGCAGAAGTGGGAAGTCAGAGGTGGATTAATTGTTCAGTGAGAAATGTTTTCTTACTCTTCAGGTCTTTCTGTTCTCCCCTGGTTGCTCGTATTCATTCTGACAGATGCTCGGGTGGTTGTGTCTGCAGTTTGCAGTGGCGTGTTGCATTCGGTGTTCCCGATTTGCTGTGAGGTGGGTACCTGCAGGTTGTGTGAATTACACATGCTGCGCCGGCACGCAGCAGGGGAACGCCCTGGTGGTTGTGAAGCTTGTTTGGCAGATAGCCTTTGTGTTTGTTGCTCTAGCACGAAGGCTTTTCCCTCTCACATTCTGTTTCTCTGGTCTTCCTTTGTATGTTAGTTGTTCACTACATATATATTCTTTCAGAAAAGTGGGAAATAACAGGCTCCAGAACAAGATTTTTTTTAATCTAGTATTTTTTTTTAACTATCAACACTAGCTACTATTCCATTGAACTCTCCTAGATGGCTTTGTAACTACGGGACAAGAGGAACGGTATAATTTGTGGACTATTTCTGGACCAAGGTTTACTTGGAAGCATTAATCTGTACACATTGTGAACAGCTTTCAAGCTGGCAACAAGGCAAAGCTTGTAAGAGCTGTGTTACATCACGGAATTGCTTCCCTTCCCTTGCTGCAAAACTACAGAAAAAGAGAAAATGGCTTAAATAACGTGGAACTATGAGAGGCAGTTCCAGCTGAAGTGAAGATGGCTGCTGAATAGGTTTGCTTATTCTGGTTCAGCTGCAATGCCTCCTCAATATCTAAATCAAATATAGAAAGCGATTCAACTGTAAGAGTAAATGGCTCAAAAGCTTGTTTTCTTTAGAAAATCTGTTAATGGTATAGGGAAAACAATATTTAACTTGCTTAGGAGTTTCTAGAGTGGCTGTTCTCACCTGACTTACTGGTAAAGTCAGCAGTTGTCCTTTCGGCAAGGTTGGCAAGATGCAATTTGTCGCTCAAAGTTTTTAAAAGTCAAATAATTCAGTCAGGTGTTTTTTCTCTGCAAGTATCTACTGTGTTTGATTTCCACTCTCCCCTGTTCTTAACTCATTGCTAGGATGCCCAGAGGACCCCAAGAAAAAGCTGAGAAGGTAACTAACTGTATTTTGCCAGTTTTAATGCTCTCAGCTCTGGCTGACTATGCTCAGTTCGACTTTTTTCCCGCAGCATTTTTTTTTCTGATATCTGGCAATTTACAGCTCCACGTGTGAGAAGACTGTATGCAACATGCCAGCTTTAGCGGCAATTCCTACAGCCATATTGTTAGGATGAAGAGATGTAACAGTACACAGCTACAGACCGCTGAGTGTGTGAACACAAATGAGAATCCAAATACAAGAGAGGTGAGGAATACCAAAAGTTTTACCAATACATTGAAAAGAAGTGGAAGGAAGCAAAGTAAAAATTTCTGGAGTGAAACTGCAACAACACTTTCCTTTTTGGTGTCTGTTTTTCCCATTCTTATATTCAACGCACCGTTTTCCTGTGATTCATACTGTGAAACCTTTAAAGGCTAGAGAGCCTCCTTTGCATAAAAATCACTGATTATGTTACAAATATAGCCTAAAAAAAAAAAAAAGGACAATTTGAATCATGCAAACCGTATGAATCATCTTCATCGATTGAAGACCTGGGGGGAAGCACATGGGCTGGTAACTGCAGTGGGAGCGGTCGGCGGCCAGACCCAGGGGCGGGGTGACGTTGGAGCTGAGATGGTCTTAAGTGAATGAAGTCCTTGGGAACCTGGTCTGAAGTCAGAGCTTTGAGCAGGTGGTCGGACCAGAGACCTCCCAAAGTCCTGTCCAGCCTCAATGAGACCGATTTAAAAAGGCCAGTTCCAAAAGGCATCAACATACTGAGCCAACGGCTTGGTTTTATTTAGAAGTGGAAACAAGTACACATTCAAGACACAAAGAGAAGTTCACCGGTGCATCTTCCTGATTTTGAGGGGGCTTTTGCTAAAACCCATATGAACGTTCTGATATTTCTGAAGAAGACAAAGCTGACTCATGGGTATCCACCTGATGAAAAAAATGGCTTGCAAAGCTGGGTAGAAGAGGATAGGGCAGCAGAAACAAACCATGTAACTTCCGAGGAGCACTGCAGGGTTTTGAAAGGCGCAAGGACAGAATACAGATGTGGCAGGGAACTATTCCCTCTATAATGCAGAAGCATTATGAAATAAAGCTCAGATGCCAACAAACGGGGAATATAAATTAAGCATTTATATTACCGGCATAAAATGTATCAATTTATCAGTTTCACCAAGCAGAATTTTGGAACAAGCTTAGTGGCTTGTAACAAGTGAACCAGCGGAAATCTGGACTTGTGATAAAGCTTAAGAAAGGTAAGGCGATAACAATAAATGAAGCCTGCAAGCAGAAGGTTGCTATCTTTTACCTGCCAGTTCCTCAAGAGAATAGGCTTCTAAGATCTGGGAAGACGATAACTCCAAACAGGAAAGGCAGAGGATCAAAAATAGGATGGGCAGGGGGGAATTTCTTCTGACTATTTCCCCTCTGTAATTATGTTTAAATTGCATCATGCATAAAGTTATACATATTTTTCCTTGTACGAGCTATACAGCCCATTTGTTGGAACAGCAACATTACTGGATAGACACACCAAAAAAAAAAAAAAAAAAAGAGCAAGAGATAAATCAGCAAGGAACTTTAAGACATTTAAGTAAAAAGTAAGCGAGAGTACACACACCTGAAAAATACCGAGGCTTCCTGAGGTTTAAAAAGGGTGAAACGGGGAGAAATAACACGGGGCGGGGGCACGCCTCTCGTGGGTATCCCTGGAAAGAGCAGCCGGCGAGGCGAGCTCCGCGCAGCTAAGCGGGACTGCGCGGGGGGCCGGGCTCCGCGCAGCTAAGCGGGACTGCACGGGGGGCCGGGCTCCGCGCAGCTAAGCGGGACTGCGCGGGGGGCCAGGCCAG